GGTAGTCCGCAGATGTGGGTGACGATGCTGGAACCTCATCGCTGCCGTCGAAACTTGGCTGTGCTTCCTCAGGGTTCCGCGCTTGACCAGCCTGACGGGATTTTCCGCCGAAAACTCCTCGCATTCCACCGTAGACGTTCTTGTTGAAGCGATCCACACCCTGGCCGACATCGCGGAAGCCTTTGCCGACAGCGTGCATGCCTTCTCCTAAAAAGGGCAATGGGTTCATGTTCACGCCGCGCTTGCGATCAGGTGAAGTCGACCGCGAAGAAGAAGATGATGATGATGCAGACTCTGCCAGGACCTTTTGGAGTTGTTGCTCGATCTCGTGGGGGTTACCGGCGTCCACACCTTGTTCGTGAGTCTCTTGGTTGATTGCGTGGTTCTGCATGGCCTCGTCGTGCTTCTTTTCCGCCTTGGACTTCTTCTTTCCAGCTTCCTTGGCGGCCTTCTCCTCCATCTTCTTGTGCTTTTTGGTGCATGTGATGATGAGATTTGTTTCGGCCGCTTCAAGGCTCCGGGCGATCTTGGTTCGGTCGTTGACCTTGTCCATAAGATCGTCGTAGTTGCGGTTGATCCAGATGTCTTTGATGCCGCCGGGGAAGACATCGTAGAGGGCGTCGAGCGCGGGAACCGTGAGCCACTTCTCAGGAATGCTTTGCACGAGAATAGTGGTAGCGGATGCTCGGATACGATGCTCGGGTCTGGTGAGAACGGTCTGCCTGAGGCGCACGAATTGCCTCAGCGCCAAGTAGAAATTGAAGCACACCCAGCATACGACCGATACGGCAATGATGCAGTGCGCCCACAGACGATGTCTCTTGTTCGGAAACGCGACATTGGGCCAGGCGAAGGAGTCCAAGCCCGAGACACCGGGCTCGTCGCCTTTTCGATTTATAGGTAGGAGGACAGGCAGGATAATGAGTGCCATGGGTATGAAGATGCGGAGCAGGAGCTGCAGGTACTGGAGGAAGAGGTAGCCATCGACGCCGGCGACGCGGATAAGCTCCTTGTCGCTGATGGTGAAGACATTGCGGAATGAGTCGATGGCGGTCGTGGGCGCTGCGATGCGCTTGGCTACGGGAACGAAGGCCGTCTTGTAGTAGCTGGCAATGGTTAGCACATGGGGGGTATGTAGGCAGGGAAGCGGCGTCGCATACTATATCTTGTGGAACAGACTCTGTCGTGCCGCCGCCTTGTCGGTCTGGTCTGCATCATCTACGGTCTTCTTCTTGGTGACTCCCTTGTGCAGCTTCCAGTTGCCACTCAGAATCAAGAAAACAACAATCTGGATACCAAAAATGGCGGCGGCGGTGGACAGCGAGGCGGCGAAGTTCTCGATGCTCTGGTTCCGCCGCGACTCTGGCGATGGCTTGTTGGGGTCGGACATGGCTCAGAGCGGTGCAGGTCGCGTATGCGGTCAAGTTGTGAAGCGGAACCCCTGTCTTAAGCGCAGATGGCCATGGAAGAAGGGCAGGGAGGAGCAGCCGCTATTGTTTGCGGTTGCAGATAAATTATTAGGGTAGTAGAGTCGCACAGAGGGTGTGAATGAGAACGTCAAAGAGAGGGTTCATTATGAACTTGGAGGTGACTGGCATGGCGCACACGGCGACGTGTTTCAACCCTCGCATTCCCTGATACGCGGTCAGTCGGGGGCTTGGCGGCGTCACTGGCGCTGGTGGGCGCGCTACTTTGCCAACCGCCCGCCGTTTGAGCCAAACAACCGCTGGCCTGGTCGTTAATCTGAAACTACAGACAGCCGTTTGGCCAAGGCCCTTTGTCTTTGAGGCTGACAGCGACACAGTGATTTTGCTGCGCGCAGCAGAACAACACTGCTTTCACGATGGCATCTGTTGTACGACCCGTCTCTGTGGGTAAGGAGCATTAAGATTGAGGCACATGCATGGACCCGATCTGAGCATCCTCCCCGTACTCGATGACGTTCTGCTACCAGGAATCCGCTCCGTATTGCCGTATTGGACTGCGCACGCGCCAGCCTGTTCCCACCTTCTATGAAGAGCTACGCGCCAGCGCCACACTGGGGCGCACGCCAAGCCCTTGACTCAATTGGCCGAACTTCCAACACTCACGCCACATGTGCAGATCACACAAGCCCGTAGCTTGCACTATTCTCAAGACTTCCAGCATTCGTCTTGACACTTGCGCCTTTTATTCTGTCTTTGTGTGTATACGTCTGTATTCGACAATTCTTCACGGCGTGACCTCATTACCCAACAACCTCCCAATCTCCTCCGCAATCGCCAACGTCTTCTCTTCGCTCAACTTCTTCCCAATGACCTGCACAGCAACCGGTGCACCGTGATAGGCGTCAGGGTCGTATTCCGCCTGAACACTCGCATCCAACTCATTCAACGGCTTGTAGTCCGCCCGCTTGCCATCGACCTTGCTATCCGCAAAAGTGACAGGAACGACGACGCTCGTAAAGTCTAGCAAGTTGATGGCAGACGCATAGCCATAATACTTGAACTGGTTGTGTCGGATGGCAGCTGTTGGACTAATGGGACCGACTATACAGTCAAGCTCGCATCCAAGTTCGGCCTCGACCTCTCGCCATTTGGATAAATACTGCATCTGATAATCCCACTTTTGCAGATGGATATCCCACACGTCGTTCAAGTCGGCTTTTTTGATATCCGGGTTGAGGAGTTCTTTGATGTTGGGGATGGGGGGCTCTCCGGAAGCTTTGATGTCCCTCATTACGTCCTGTTGAACGATCAGCTATGCGTGACCGCGTAAGACCAATCGCGGAATCTTACCGTGCTACCATCTGCGCCATAGATCTTGTTAGCGAGATCATGGGCAAAGTCGTGCTTGTATGGAGTCCATGGCACGACTTTGTGTTTGTTTTGTTTCAAGACATCGACTACCTGGTCAATCCCGCGCAGTACCGGAGGATGTGGGAGTACCTGTACTATTAGCGGACGTAATCATGCCGTGGTGTTATGAGACTCACGTTGCCGTCACAGTTATAGTATCCGATAGTCAGACCAGATGAACTCAGCTTTGCTTTGACAGCATCCTCCAGGTCAGATCGCCAAGGCATGGGGACGACTTTAGAGTCGTAGTTCCAGGGCTCTTGTTGTAGCACCGAAGTAAGGAAGAGCCTCAGGTCTGGATAGTCAGTCTATCCGTAGACATGAGTTTACCTCAATCCACTTACCGGCTGCCGAGTGCGCTATGGGTCCAACAACACTGTGTATAGTCTCTTGTCCCTCCATACTATTCGCCATTTTCGCATACGGCATACGACCATGACTCGGACGAATGCCATACAAGAAGTTAAAAGCCGATGGAATCCTAATCGAGCCGCCAATGTCGGTACCAACACCAATAACGCCTCCACGAATGCCGATCATAGCTCCTTCACCACCTGAACTTCCGCCGCACGACCAGTTCTTGTTGCGTGGGTTTGTCGTTCTGCCGATTATGTTGTTGACCGTTTCGCAGACCATCAATGTTTGCGGGACACTTGTCTTAACGTAAAAGACGGCACCGGCCTTGCGGAGAAGTGCCGTTAGGACTGAGTCTTCTTCGTCGTACTTTCCTAGCCAGGAAACGTAACCCATTGATGTCTCTTTTCCCTGATCGAGCGTGTCAGTTGTGCACTGAGAGCTTACCAAGATAGAGCCGCACAGATGAGAAGAGAACCGTTTCATACCTTGATTCGCAGCTGATCTTTCAGCGAGATAGGAAGGCCATGCAGAGGACCAATGGGCTTGTTGTGCTTAGCATAATACTCATCCAGCCCACGGGCCTGTGCAAGAGCCTCTTCGGGGAAGAACTCATGTACACAGTTCGTCTATGATAAGTCGTTAGTCGATGCACTTGTGCTTATCATCATACCCATCTCACCAGTTGCTGTGCTATAGCAGCTCTTTTACAAAACGCAAGCGTGACATCGACCGATTTCAGCTTGCCCTGCGCCAGTTGAGCAACAAGGTCAGTCGCCGCTGATTCAGTTATCTCGATTTCTTGTGCAGAAAGCAACCCTGATTCTTTTGGATACGCAAACACATTGTTGTCGCTCGGAGGTATTCGGATCAACCAGTCTGAGGGGATAGATTCGGCAATGCGCTTCCGTTTGTCGGCAGCAAGCTGCTCCCAGTTTGAACTCATTGTCGTCGTCCGTACGCTGAGTGCAGCAATGACAGAAGGTTGGTATGAAGTACAGTCTGTCTAATGCTCAGAGAGACACCTGTACCGATACTGGCGCCGGACTAAAGGGCGATGATAACGCTCATACGTACTGCGTTTATCAGGATAGTCGCTTGCACCTACCGCATTGAGACTCGACCCCACCTTACGTGCGGAGCATTTCCGACAACACGGCTCGGTATTTCGCTTCTTGACATCTACGATGCTAGTTGTATTCAGGCCTCGTAGGACAGATTCAGCTGTCAGACTTGAAGCGATAGAGTTTCGAAAATCCCCGGTCAATCTACGAGGCAGGACGCCGTATAACGTACCGCTTTGTACAGTGCTAACGAGGGCTGCATGACGTCACCTGACTCACACCTAGGCAGGCTCCATCGGTTGCAGTGCTGAGTACACAACGCGACTAGGCTGTCGCTATCGCATGCTAGTCGTGTTCTACTCATCTGAACTTCTCACACTGGAAAGTGTTCCCAACGTAGATGTGTTTACCGCACTACAGCTGTACACTCGACCGGCAAAGAGCGGATAGACACGCTTCGTCCTTTCGTCTTCGCGTTCTAGCCCTCACGTATTCCGTATCATCCAATAATCTTTGGCTAGGCCTTTTGGATACACGCTGTAGACGCCATGTCGTTCTTCACACGCCCTACAAGGCAGCGAACATGTCTCCGTATAGAGCGCTCGATGAACCGATGTTCTGACGCGAACCCTGGATACTCCTCTAACAACTCACATTTTGAGACTATCAATTGTCAAAAGACTGAGACTATCAAGCCTTCAGCATTGGGCAATACCTAGGTATCAACAACCTCTAGCCACCCACGATGTACCTCCGCGCCGTTCACGCTGAGGCAGATATTGCGAAGCTACATCAATTCATCCGCGCAAACCCATTAGGCATCTTCACCACAGCCATCGAGTCCAAATCATTTCCCTTCCTCCAATCAAGCCACATCCCCTGGGTCCTAGACACCGAAGAACCCAAAGCCGACTCGACCCATCTCGGCGTCCTCCGCGGCCACATCGCCCGAGCCAACCCCCAAGCCAAAGTCCTAATCGAACACCTCAAATCGCAAACCAACTCCGACACAGACCAGCCAGTTCAGATCCTCTCCCGCGACATCATGATCATCTTCAACGGCCCAGCGCACCACTACGTCACGCCCAAATTCTACACAGAAACCAAGCCCGCGACCGGAAAAGTAGTGCCCACGTGGAACTACTCCGCCGTCCAAGTCTACGGTCGAGCCACCATCTTCCACGACACAAAAGACCCTTCCACAGGCACTTTCCTCGACAAACAGATCCGAGATCTGTCGCTGCAGTCCGAGAAAGGGATTATGGGGTACGAAGAGAAGCCGTGGCAGGTTGACGATGCGCCGTCGAGTTATATTGAGATATTGAAGAAGGCGATTATTGGAGTGCAGATTGAGATAATGGATTTGGGGGGCAAGTGGAAGATGAGTCAGGAGATGGGGGTGGGGGATCAGAAGGGTGTGGTTGAGGGGTTCAAGAAGATGGGGTCGGATTTGGGAGATGAGATTGCGAGGACGGTTGAGGAGAGGGGGAAGGTGGGAGGTGACTCTTAGTTGCGTAGGTATATTTATGAGAAGGTTGTGGTCAGAGGGGGGTTTTCTTGGGCTGCTGGAAGCGGGTGGAAAGGCCTTTGCCTGTGTCAATCGCTTTGCGATGCCTATCTTTTTGTAAACGTTTTATGCTAATGTATGAGGGGATAAACCTGGGGTATCATATCCAAACGCCAAAGTGTACTCCAAACACCAAACTGAGGAAGGTCGGCCAATACTACCAATTCGCCAACACCGCATCCACCTTCCTTCTCCCTTCATTGTCCAGCCCCTCCATATCGACATCCTCCTCATCCTCCGCCGTAGAAAGAACCTGCACATCCCCAAACTTCTCCTCCACACGCGCCGCAACCCGTATCGCTAGCGTGCGCGTCTTTGCCAGCTCCAATGCAAGTGGTGCATCCTTCCACACCAGATTCGGCTGTATATTCTCCTTCGGGTTGCGGTACGGCTCTAGCAGCGAAAGCAGGGTACGATACGTATCCAGCCTGTTCTGAAGCGTCTGCCTATGTGCAGAGAGTTCTTGGAGGCGGGAAACGGAGGAGAGGTATTCGTCTTGTGTGACTTCGGCGTCGCGGTCGGGCCAGGTGGTTGGGAGTTTTGCGATGTTCTCGTCGAGGGTTAGGTCGTCGGTTTGGTAGAGGGTGTGCGCGTCGTTTTCGGGGGCGGAGGAGGAGGTGTGCGCGTCTTCGTTGTCGTCGTCGGCGTGTTGCGCGCCGGAGTCCCAGTATAGGATGTCGATTTGCTCGACTACGTGCTCGATCATTTGACGGCTATAGACTTTTCGGGAGTGTTGTTTGAGGTCGCGGTTGACTGCATGGTGTTAGTGCTGGTTCGCAGAGCATCATAGGCGAGGCGACTGCATACCTTTATCAAGCACGCCTTTCATAACACTGAGTTCAATGCCACCATCTTGCGCAAGAGTGCGCAGCCGTTCTGATGGCGGTATTGGACGCGACAATATGTGTTTCCTGGTCTGGAGGAATCTTTGCTTCTGTTCAACGACAGTGCCTTGTTTCGACCTCGCATTTGGCACGCGTCGATCCATTGTGAGAGTGTTGGGTAGCGTTGACTATCATTGCGGACATGGACATTGGATCGCGGGGACTAGCGCGACGCGTGGAAATCAGACTTTACCCCATTTAGATAGCGCGCTCGTCAAATCTCACCTAGCCCTGGAGGTACCTCGATCCATCCCATCTCCATCACAGCCGCAATGTTGCTCCTCGTACTCATACTCGCCCTGCTGATCATCGCACCTGCGTTGACTTACTATCTTACAACATCCATTTTCTACTCAGTCGTTAAGGACAAGGAGTCGTCAGGGAAATTACCACCATCGATTCCCTACTCTGTTCTAATAGCTTCCCATTATCTCGGTTTTGTGTTCAATGGAACGCAGAAGTACTTCGCGAAGCTGATGTAAATTCCCTCATGTGATAGTGGTTGGAAGAGTACTGACACATCTTAGTGAAGAATATGGACGGTTCGCGCCGTTCCTCGTCTTGAATTTCGTCGTTCTTCGAGACCCGGAACATGTGAAGAAGGCCATGCAAGCATGTAGGCCAGTCATCACAAGGAGGAATATGCACGAAGTAATTGTACTCTCTCGCAAAGACCTTGAGAAGAAGTATGACGACGCCGCTGCCCACATGCGAGATGTTAGCTTTGAGCGTGGCGTGACAACATGCAAGTATCTGGAAGGCAGCTCGCTGGCCACCATGACCAACCTGTATACCGATATCTTGTCGCGTACCATGAACGATAAGATGTTTCAAGTCAGCAGCTGGACCCAGATAGAAGACGTCTGGTCGTTCCTCGAGCAAGTCCTTACAAGGTGCTCTGTGGAATTGCTCTTTGGCTCCGCCATCCTCAAGCAGTATCCTGGCCTCATAAAAGACTACTGGAAGTTCGAAGAAGCTATCCAAGGCTTCTTATCAACAGATGATTTGTTCAGGACCCCACCTTACAAAGAGTCGCTCGACCGGCTATGGCAGGGCGTCGAAAAGTGGCTGAAAGTCAATCACAGTGGTACCGAATTCGCGAAGACTGGACCTGACGACGCAGATCTGGATGGGCATAGGGGTTCGAAGTTCATCCAAGAACTTGATGACATGATTGCGAGCAGCCAGCTACCTTCTGAGGCAAGAATCGCGGAGATGTTAGACGTAATGCACTAGTAGGCATGCTCCGTGAAACTATTACCGTGGTTCGTACAGTCGTGCTGACCTGCTCATAGCTCGAATGTGGAATTGGTCCCTTGCGCCATTTGGACCACGATCGAATCGCTACGCAAACCAAACCTAGCCGAACAAATCACTGCGATGGTCTCCGCAAGCAAGCCAGCAAAAGCGGCCGCGTATGATGTGAATGGAATTCTAACTAGGCCTCTCTTCCAGTCTCTGCAGGCAGAGGTCAGCCGTCTCCGTGTGGCAAAGTATAGGATATCTATCCCAAGGGCTGATGTTGCCCTTGACAGCGAGTGGATACTTCCCAAAGATTGCAATGCAATTTCGTTCTCGCGGGATTTCGCATTGAACACGAAAGTGTGGGCAAACGCGCGGCCACGCACTGTCGAAAAACCATTGGAGGAGTTCTGGGCTGAACGCTTCTTGATCGCCGAGAAAGACACTTCACGGGCACAGGGTCAGCGAAAGAGCCGCGGTAGCATCATGAATGAGGCGAGATTCGACGCGCAAGATCTCGAGCTGCTGCTCCCTGCAATCGGTGACAAGATGGCGTTCGACCTTGCTAGCCATTATTTCAGAGCCATGCAAGCAGCGACTATGGCTGTTCTATTCAACGAGTTCGAGATACAGCTATGCGATCCGGATTTGATCGATGCAGCGATGCCTGAGTTGCGGGAGTCGGCTTTTGGACTGGTGCGTCCGAAGGAGAAAATAGCCGTGCGCATACGCAAACGCAGGGCTGTCAAGGAGCAGTGAAGGGAGGGCCCTTCCCTTTTCGGATGTGGCGCAGTCTTGCCGTGTGATTGTCGTGTAACCCTCAAAATTCTTATCTACCATTCTTTCTACCACGCACGTTGAGCACTTTGTGTGTCCTCCTTACCTCCTCAAGCACTAACGCGATCACGACGACTGTCGATTGGCCTCAAGTATGAATCTTGATCTACTCACCATAGTCAAAGGCTTGTTCGCAGTTGCCTTCACGTACTGGTCCAGCAAGATTATCTACAATGTCTTCTTTCACCCCTTGGCTCACTTTCCCGGTCCGAGGTGGGCGACAGCGTCATATCTGGCGGAGTTCTACTTCGACGTCCTCCAAGGTGGGCAGTATCTCAAAAAGGTCATCCAAATGCATGAGAAATATGGTAGGTACTAGCGACGAGACGCAATTCACACAAAAAGCATTGGCTGATGGCACGCAGGCCCCCTCGTACGAGTCAATCCGGACCATCTCTCACTGAACGATCCCTTCTTCTATACCGAGGTGTACTCAGGCGCTGGGCGGAAAATGAACAGTAAGTTTTGACTGTACAAAGTGCACGTGAGACATATACTGACTTCGTACCTCTGCCTCTGCAGAGCACCCCGAGCTCTCACAAACCGTAGCTACGTCTGTAGTCTCCACCAAAGACCATGACCTGCACCGACAACGGCGGGGTTACATTGCCAACATGTTCTCCAAGAAGTCTATCTCGGATCTCGAGAATGTTGTCCAGTCAAAAGTCGATAAGTTGGTCATGCTGATGAAACAGGCCTATCGTACAGAAGAGACACTCATCGGACATCTCATGTTTGGCAGCCTCGCGGTTGACATCATCTCGCACTACGCGTACGGAGAGAGTTTCGGCGACCTCGATAAGCCTGGATTACCGTGTGAGCTCCAGCGAGACGTCAAAGGCGTAGCGTTGACTTTAAACCTGCGCAAATTCTTCCCGGCCATGGATGCGGTTCTGGTGCGTATTCCGGCCTGGTTGATCACCCGTATTAACCCGTCCATCGTCAGCTGGTTGGACTTCGACAGCCGAATCACCAGGTACTCCATCGAGGCGCTGAAGAAAAGCCAAGAAGGAATGGAGCCAGCCAAGCCTAGGACGATATTCGATGCGCTACTCAGTTCTAAGGTTCCTGAGGAAGAAAAGACGCTGCGACGATTGAAGGATGAGGGCACGCTTATCTTGTTCGCTGGTGTAGATACTACGGCTCGGTTTCTGACTTGTGCGATGTGCTATTTGCTCACGTATCCCGGTATATTGGCGAAGCTGCGAGCGGAGCTGGAGTCGCACTCTACGTCGACCTTGACTGAGCTCGAGGCTCTGCCGTATCTGGTAAGTCGTCGATTGCCACACTCAGTCGTAACAACTTACACATACTAGACGGCGGTCATCAACGAGTCACTCCGCTTCCAGTGTTGCTTCACAGGCCGCTTTCCACGCGTGGTCGTTGAGCCTATTCCCTACAAGGACCTGCTCATCCCATCTGGTGTAAGTATGACACTCATTTTGGGGCTTTAATTGTCTGACACTACCAAGACCATCATCGGCGCATCCCCGTATCTACTCAACAACCACCCCGACGTATTCCCAGATCCTCACATCTTCCGACCCGAGCGATGGATCGAAGCCAAAGCCCGTGGAGAATACCTCGACAAGTATCTCGTTACCTTCTCAAAGGGTAGCCGAGCTTGCCTCGGCATCAAGTAAGACGTCATGCCATGTTGTACGTTGAAGCCATACTAACGGAGTTTAGCCTCGCATACGCAGAAATGTACCTCACTATCGCTGCCATGGTTCAGAACTTCGACCTGGAGCTTGTAGATTCCTCTATTGAGAACATCACGCCTGATCGAGACTTTGGTCTGGCTTTTGACAAGAATTACAACTTCGGCGTCAATCTAAGGGTCACCAAGGTACTGCAGGAGTGAAGGGTGGGTGTTATGCAGGACGATCGGTATCTTGATGGATCGGGAGTACGTGCAGACTTTCATCATGTACAGCGACTATCATAAGCTTGCTATTACGATGGGAGCCATCTACTCTACAGCAGAAATGACATCAGCGGAGGATCTTTCCATACCCCTCATCTCCCCTCGATAGTCCTGGAGAGCAACCAGTGTCAGACATAGATTCGACATGTTACAGTCCCTCGTCCCCAACATCAGCCAATCTAGCCTGCGTCGCACCCAAAGCTACTCATCCATATACCAAAGATCCTGTCCGCAAGCCACGCACTCGTACTCTCAACTACGTTCAGTAGCATTGTCACAACAGCACTGTATTGACATCAGCTCATTTCCCTTTGTTACCTCCCTAGTGCAGCATGCTGTATTTTTAGCTGGCATCGGAACACTTTGAGACTTACTCTAGCAGTTGTATCCGGTATGGTATCTGCATGTGTGCGCCTCACGCCTAGGGGCATTCGCGCCCGGTTCTTTGTAGTAAATTGGTGGGAAAGACGGGGGATTGGGAATTGGCTGGTCGAGGGGAGGGGTTGCGGCGAGGAGGTGCGCAACGACGATTGTCGTAACGAAGAGGAAGAAGAGGGCTGTCGAGGATGCGAGACGAGGCATGTTCACGATGGCGATTGTTGATACTGGAACTAGAATGAGGATATAGGGGGAAGTAAACTTGTAGAGAAGGGAACGTAGATAAAGGTAACAATCTGGAAGGCTATATCCAAGCGAGCGGAAGAAAGCAACAGACAACTCGTCAAGATGTATCCATCACATCCCCATCACTATCACAATCACCCAGCCCAGATATCCACCCGCCCAGTTCATCCAACCATCCCCACAAGCTTAACAAACAAGTCCCCCACCAATCCCTTAAAAGCTACTCCGGACGCACACGTACCACCCCTCGTACCACCACCACCCCCCGAACAAACCAGCGCGCCCATCACACCCCCATACAGCTGTACCCACACGCGCCCTTGCACAGCAAATTCTTCTTAACAGCCTTGCACACCTGTTCATCGTAACAAGCACCTGTCTTCTTTCTTACTTCCCTGGGGAGGCAGTGGTTTACCTATGGGAGGAAATTGTCAGAATGGGTTGTTTGGAGGTATGGGGTGGGGTGGGCAAGTGGTAGGGTTTCGAAATGTTTGGGTTACAAGTAATGAGTGGTATCGGTTCTGGGGAGGGGAAATGATGGGATAGGAGACGTACCTTGGTGTAGAGATCGATGACGAGAGCACATGTTCCGCAGATGTTGCTTGGGTTGTCGGTCATGATCTGGCGCTCTGCTAGTTCGAGGGAGATGATGGGGTTGGCCGTGGCGACAGTGGTGAGGGCAACGAGGAAGAGGGTTGGGAACTTCATGATTCCGGTAACTGGTTGAGTGCTTTCTCTGCTGTGGAGTTGAGTAGAGTTGAGTTGAGTGGAGTGGTGTAGAGAAGAGTGAGTGTGGATTGATGGAGCTGATGGGTCGCTGTGCTGGACTATTTCTACAGGCACGTTGATCCGAGTATTCATCTACCTACAGTGAATGATGGAGTTGCGAGTGCATTTCCTGTGTTGGTTAGTCGAGGTTTCTTTCATGTTCGTATCGTCTGGTAGGTCGTTGGGTAGGCCGCATGGACTTTCCTTTATTCGTCCCTTGCGAAATGTTTTGGAATGTACGAAGCGACAAAACATACAGCGGATAGTACGACGAGGATCGCCGGATCAGTGTCAGTATCCGATTCTGAGTGGTAGTGATGCATCTTGTAGCTGTCCGATACTTCACACCAACAAGCCACCATGGTAGGATCCGCAGACTTGGCAATATCTCTTCGTATTATGTTGATTCCTAGAGTTCGAGCAACATGCTCTGCCTTCGTTCTAGTCTCGTCCTCCAATACAGTTTCTTTGTATGCACCCACGCGTGTCAACAAGTCTACTCATCTGCCCGGCGAGATGTTCGATCAAGATCACAGGTTATTGATCTTCGACCGAACATAACACCATAACCTGTGATCTTGATCGAACACAACACCAGGCAGACGAGCAGGCTTATCGACAAGCGTAGGCACACACGCTCGAAGACTACATCGTACCCCGGCACGCCTAGGCACACTTAACCACCCCGTCCACCCCTCTCGTCCTGCATACCAATAGCTGGGTCGGGCGCCTCGGGAAACTCTTTCTTCGCCTTTTCCTTCCCACCAGCCGAGTCCTTTCCTTCAGTCGCATGACCACCGCTGCCCTCTTTTTGTGCGCTGCTTCATGGTATTAGCCGTATGTTGCGATAAAGCCACGTTCATTGCCTTCCATCCCCGTATGTATGTTGCTGGAAACCACTCACTCTATGCCTGCCTTTGCATTGCTCTCCTGGACGTTGTGTGTGTCGCCCTGCTTGACCTTCTCTTGTACCGCGTGCGGGCTATCGCTGTCGTATTTGTCCGTCTTGGTCTTTGAGTTGGTGCTTAGGTTGTTGGGGTATTGCTCGACGCGTCTTGAGGTCGAGAGGGAGAAAGGGCGTGCGGATGGGGCGGTGAGGCGGAGGGTCTTTGTGGACCGAATCATGCTGTTGCGGAACATGGTGGGTTGGCTCGTCGAGCTTCGAGCTGTCTATTACGTAGGTGGTGAGGGTTGAAGGTGAGGTTGTGTATGTGTCAATTGGGTCGATTTGATGATTGAAGTCAGGGTGGATGGATGTAAGGAAGCAGAAGCCTTGGAGAAACCGAGGTATGCAAAAGCAAATGACGCATGACGCGATTGCACATTTCAGCTAGCAATGATGATGTATGACGCTCTCTCCAATTGTACCTGGCATGGCTGGCGGCATGCGGGTCATAGCTCCATCTGACGCGCCTTACCGCATTGGGGTGGCATCTACCCCTCCCCCACATTTCGCGATTTGAGCCTCATCGCGAAGACCGGCCCAGGCTAGCATCCTTGAACGCGCATCGTGCCGCAATCGACATCAAAGATTGTCAGAGGTACCGGATAGGTCTACCATACTCGAACACATATTTGTTCAACGCCACAGACATTGCAACGCAGACAAAGACCACGAGCGGCACAGCAATATGGCCGACGAGAAAGACTGGAAAGCAGAGGACTTCCCTTGCACCCTGTACGCTTCCAGTCCATCTCAGATGCCATTCACACCCCTAACACGACCCCAGCACTCTAAAGATCCCCTTCCCAACCCCCCACCTCGCCTCAACCGCCTCCCGCGCCCTCTCCGTCGACGCCGAACTCTCACCCCTCGTCCGCCGCGCATTCACGCTCACCACACCACCCTCATCCCCATCTCTATCCACAGAACAAAGCGTCCTACAAGTAAACTACGCAGCAACCACAAACCGGATGTTGCGCGTTGCCGTAAACGGGTTCATCGAGAGCATAGGCGTTGTGATAGGGGTGATGAAGGATTTAGACACGGATGTTGTGTATGAGGCTACGAAGGAGGGGTTGGAGGGCGTGCAGGGGTTGGATAGGGAGAAGGTGGGCTGAGGAGAGGTATGGGGAGTAGCAATTTCTAAGTGCAGATCTGCAAGGCTGGGAGGTGCGACGCGGAAGACTGGGGAGGAGAGGGAAGACGCGATGAGCGTTGAAGAGGCGACGACGAGGATGATGATTATAGACAGCCCCATCACACGCGCCAGGGGAAGACCATGAGATATACCAGAAATCAGGCAAGTCATGGATGGACAAGGGCTGGAGCTCTGTTAACCATGGGGTGGTCTCCGGGACAGGTAGAGGATGAGGAAGTCATCTCGTGCTATACTGCAATACCATGCATATATACATATCCAATCATATCACCAAACCGCTCATCCTCACTTCTCGTCCCGCACACCAGTAACCGCACTACCACCGCATCTTCATCCCTGCTCCTTCACTTCCGCCTCTTCGTCACCCTTCTCATCCTCCGCCTTCCTCTTCTGCGCCGGATTTCCTTCCAGAACCGCCATCTTCGCCTCCGGAACCATGGATGGCGCCACTGGCGCATGCTCCGGCGGCTTCTCAGATGGCATAGGCGGATACACGCCGTCGTCTCTAATCTGCCAGCCATCGATCTTGAGAAGCTTCCACCTCTCCTTGATCTTGCATCGGACCAGTTCGCCTGTCGTACGCGCATCCTCGTAGCTGTCGTGGCCGGCAGCGCCTCCCTGCTGGATCTGCTCGCCGAGGTGGTCGGACGCCAGCTTTCGCAGGCCGAAGCGGAAGGGGAGGCCACTTGGGTTTGGATACAGGAGTACGGTATCGATGATGGTGGGGTGAACGAGGCGAATGGTGTTGAGATCGTTTTCGAGCGCATGACCGAGGACAGGGGTGGTGGGAGAGACGTGAGAGAGAAAGAGGTCTCTCGCTGCGTGGGGTGATTCGACGATACGGAGGTCTTTACGCACAGGTTTTGGGTTGTCTGGATCATATGGCTTCGCGTTCAGGAATTGATCTGCGGTGATGCCAGAGAAACGGGTGTTGAAGTCCAATACATGTCCAAGTGGGCGGACCAGTACATCGACGAGAGGTTTGTGTTGTGGCCATGTAATGACTGTGAGACGAAGCATCTCAAGGCCATTGGTCGTATAGCCCATCTCGCAGTCGAAGCAAACAGCGGTGTCCTTCGGTACCTTGTCGTTCTCGGGCGTTTCGACAAAGGGCATGATGAGTGACAGCCGATTTGGATCTTTGACGTTGTACACATGAGTAGGATGCGTAGTGCAGCCCGGTGATCCTACCTCCCCATTGCAGCAACTGAACTTTGTAGGCTCTGGGGCGACGCCTCTTGTTTTTCTTGGAAAAACGCGCCTCCCCCAGTGATGCTTGCACTGCCCTCCCGTTGTGAGCGCCCCATCTTCTTCTCGCCGCTCCGAGAAGACCTGGAATCGAGTGCTGCAACGGTCACACTGTTCCCAGCCGCCAGCTGCTTCGAGCGCCAACTTCGTCTCGTTGAGATCGGCCTCAGCAGGTACCTTGGTCACATAGCCGTGCTGGTCTAATCCATCCTGCGGGCACACAAGCCTGGGGAGAAATGTCATCTCTTCTTTCGCTGTAAGACCCGTGTCTATCCTCTTAGGTGGTGCTTTCTTTGGTGGCTCTCCACTCTCCTTGGCTACCGCATCGCGCCGTTCCTTTACCCATTCCTCTGCCGGCATGCCTTTTAACTTGACCAATCGCTGCTTGAGAATGTTCTCGTATACCGAGGGGTTTGATGTAGCTATCCTTTCTTCTTCGTCAACTGCTAGCTTGTTGAGCTGGTTTGCGGATAGATGCAGGGCTTTGATCTCAGGCTTGACTGCTTTGAGGAGCTTATCGTTCTGCGGCTTCATGTAGGAATGTAATGCCTTGAGCAAAGCAACCCGTTTGGTGAAGGTGGCTGGTTCTTTGTTGAGTTTGCGTGGCATCAAAGTAACAGGAGCATCGGGTTTGACGGCAGCTTTGGGCGCGGTTCCAGCCGGAGGTGGTGATACTGGCCGTGTGGCAGACCTAGGTAGAGTAGAGGTAGTGGCATTTGCGACAGATGCCTTAGAAAGGGCAGGGTCAGCAGCCGCAGACCCATTGCTTGTTGTCTGTGTCTTGGTCTTGGGTATGTCCGTGCTGACCGAGACATCGGGCGTGTTCTGGGCCGACGTAGGCTTGGTGATAGTGGGTGCTGTCTTGTCGTGGTCAAGCTTCAGTCTCTTCGCGATTGGCTCCGAATCATATGTTGCTGCAGCTGGCGATGGAGATCGTGTTCTAGTGGGTTTTGTAGAATCGTGACCGAAGATGCAGTGAGGCAGGTCACACTTTGCACCCGAAGGACATGCTATATTGGCAAAGCTCCTGTAAGCTGGTACTGAAGGCCACATGATTGCTTCGCTTGCGACGTGTTCTTTCCTGTAAGTAAGTACAATGCCAAGCTGTATGCGCCTGTGACCTACCAGCACGCTATCTTATGAGAACACTGAACACTCTAGAGCCTACGTTGACGTTAGCTGACCTACTTTGTAAGTTCTTGTTTTAATGTAGTCTGCAGACCTGTTCAATGTTTTTCTTGTATGAGGTGCCAGGCTAGAGCTGACGAAGAGCTATACAGCCAATGGATGCGATGTATGAGAAATGGTCTTGGGTCTGACACCAGCCACACGTTTGATTGCACGGTGTTGCCACGGTATGAGGGAGTGACGGTTAAGCAATCAACATCTCATTGCGCAGAGAAAGATAGATGTAGATGCAAAGGCGGCTGGTACGACAGCCTGCGCGTTAAGAGTCTTCTTGTAGCTTCACGAAGGGCAGTGTTGTACAGAGGCGCTGCCCCAGAATTACCAGCAGCTCCAGTATGAGCTCCAGCTGTCCCGAAAGAGCTAGAGCGGACTAGACGGTGAAGGTGAGGGATGAGGTGAGATGCGCGTCTCAGCCCTGTAGATGTTTAGCGCTAGACGCAGGGCCCACGGACGCGGGCGGGCGAACTTGCGACGGCGATCCGCCTTAATTCCGTCATGACGCGGTGATGCAACCTGCGCGCATCTCAAGGCCGCCTCCCTTTCACCCTCCAGCCAGCGTCAATACCCATAAATATATGCGCAATTTTGCTTGAGTGAACCTGCGCATCTACACATCATATCCTGACAAACTCGCCACTTTCCGCGACATCACAAGTGCCCTCGTCGCATAGGAATTGCTTTTCGGACCGCGCGCGTCTCGGGTCACACTGCGCCTTTCGGACGACTTGTGGACGCCCGAACGATATACAAATACTGCGCCTTCCACCGTAATATCCAGGTCAGCTAAGATACCTTCGACATGTCTACCTCGATGAGCACCTCCAAGAAAGCCGACCACCTCTGTGTCCTCGTTCATGGGTACGTCCCTGTCTCCGTCGCACGCTTATCGCCTCTTATCATGACAAGAAGGAACACTGTCGCTGACCACACCCAGCCTCTGGGGCAAGCCTGAGCACCTCAAATACGTCAGCACCACTCTAGGCGAACGATATCCTGAGGACAAACTGCACATCCTCGTGGCCAAGCGCAACGCTGGCAGCTTCACGTACGATGGCATCGATACCGGTGGCGAGCGCGTGGCAGAAGAGGTGGAGAGGAAGTTGGAGGAGCTCGCTGAGGCTGGGCACGACATAACAAAGATCAGTGTTGTTGGCTACTCGCTAGGAGGCTTGATAGCACGCTATGCTATCGGCCTGCTGTTCCACAGAGGCATCTTTGAGAAGATACAGCCTGTCGTATGTGTCTCCATCATGCGCCTGTACTATTTACTAACACCACCAGAACTTCACGACGTTTGCGACACCACACCTCGGCGTACGAACACCCCTCAAAGGCTACCACAGCCACATCTGGAACGTCTTAGGTGCCCGAACACTCTCCATGAGCGGGAGACAACTTTTTGGCGTGGACAAGTTTAGGGATACAGACAGATCACTTCTAGCCGTACTTGCGGACCCCGAAAGCATCTTCATCCGAGGCCTTGCCCAATTCAAGCATCGGAGTCTATACGCGAACGTCGTGAACGATCGAACAGTCACATACTACACCGCCGGTATTTCGCAAACCGACCCTTTTGTCGACCCGGACGACATCAAGATAAACTATATCCCAGACTACGAAGATGTCATTGTCGATGGCCAGCACCCAGTCTCGCACAAGGAGCCAGAAGAGCCTCCAGCGCTATCACAGCGGCTGGTACAAGGCACATGGACAATACTGGGCAGGACTGGCATTGTCGCAGCTTTGACGGTTCTCGTACCGATCGGCGTGTCAGCTTTCCTCATCAATTCCGCATTCCAATCTATACGCAGCCAGCAACGGATAAGACTGCACGAGGAAGGCAGATCGGGCATCGACTACGCGCGCTATCGCATACCACTCATGATCAACGCCGTACGACGAGAAGCTGAGGGCATGTACGAAAACGCAAACCACGTCCAGAGCCAAGAATATTTGAGTGAGAGCTACGAACACGTAGGATCTGCTTCTACACGCAAGGACGAGTCCAGATCCGACGTCGACTCGATACAAGAGCAAAAGGAGGGCGCAACACCCACTTTTCCCACACTAGCTCTCACACAAGAACAATTCGGGATGATTGAAGCGCTGGACAATGTTGGCTTCACGAAGCACCCAGTCTACATCCACAACCATCGACACTCGCATGCGGCCATTGTTGTACGCATGAACAAGCCTTCTTTCAATGAGGGTAAGGTGGTCATCAAGCACTGGCTGGACAATTTCGAACTATGATGGACTCTCAAACACATTTCTGTCTGCATTTACAGCGTGGCGCATGGAGTATCTTTGAGATGGCATTCTCAGGACATAGAAGCAGTGTCCTTTTCGGCGAGTTATACCTTGATCATTTGTCTTTATGTAGGTGTTTCCAATTACGAATGTTTAATGTGTTACTACACCCCCACTAGTGCGTCTTCACAACAACCTCCTCCTCGAATAACTAACCCACTGGTGCCACTTCAACTCACTCATCCTCATCCGACTCCCCCTCATCCTCGTCCAACTCCCCCTCCTCCCCCGCAAACCGAAACGTCAACCCCCTCACAAACCTCGCCCGAAAGTCCATCCGACACATGATCTCCACCCTCACAACCTCGTACTTCGCCGTCTCATACACCCTCAGCGCATCCTCCTGCTCCTGCGACACAACCTCGTAAGCGCACCCCTCCACACACGTACCAGTATTGTCGACCAAAGCTTTGTACTTGCCACCCCACGTTCTGATCTTTCCGGAGTGGATCATAGCGGGGAGTAATGTGTGTTGTTGGCCTGGTGGCGAGTTGAATAGGTGGGCTAGGTGTGAGGGATTGGCTAGGGTGCCGTAGAAGAAGTACCAGACTGGGAATTGGTTTTGTGCTGGGAGGTACTCAGAGCTGGTGATGTTTTGGGGGCGACGGTGGGGGAGTGTGGTGTCGTAGCCGAGAGTTGGGTATGCGGAGTCTGGAGAGAGGGCTTTGCGTGCGATGTTGATAGGGATGAAGGTTGGTGGGATGGTGGGATAGGTTATTGCGAGCCATCCTTTGATCGTTGGGATGTCAATGTCGCGGACCTGACAGAATGTCGCAGCGCCATCTTCGCCTTGCCCTTGGTGGATTTTGGGTTGAGTGGGGAGGATGGCAGCAGATGCGAGGATTGTGGGGGTAATGGGTGCGGTGATCTTGAACAGGTAGTCCATTTTGCTCGATTTGCGCTTGGGGGTTCCATTCGCTGGAGTATGACACTTGGTGGCTCGGATGAAATCTTCTAGCTCGGACGACAGCTTGGGGGCGGCAGTGGAATCGAATGGCGCGGTATCGCCGGTCAGTTCGTCCAGCGCATTCATGCCTTCTAGATCTAGATCGTCGGGGTATTCCATGGTGTCTGTGGGATTGAGGATTGTATGAGAGATGAACTGCTGCAGGTCGCGCCTTCACATGTTTTATGGATGCCTTCCCTCTTCTTGAGTCACAGCCACACGTTCTACCGCACCTTGGTTGCTATTCGATGTACCAGTGGTACTGCAGTGAGCCAATAGACTACGACAAGCCACTAATAGCACCCACAATTCATACCAACACATACTTTGAGGATTATCTTGTTCTGCGTCACCTTAGCCTGCCAGTGTGGAATCTACTAAGTTCCTCCTAGGTGTCGCAAAGCTTGTGAAAGCTTTCGTTCTCGCAAGCTTTTAGACTCCAGCCCGACGTTCGTCGCTCCTCCAGAAGGGAGTCTCATAGATGAGAGAAGACTAATTTCTGGGAAAGATTGAAGAAAGCAGGTGATGGGCTCTTTCCAAGGTTGTTCTTACGTGAATGGGTAGCGAGGGTGGGTACAGCGGGCAGCCACGAGGCGGTGCACGCTAGATGCTAGACTACGGCACTTTCGACATGGCCCTTCTACGACGCATCAGAAGCACTCAGCATGAGATACACACTCAAAAGACTATTCAGTTACTCCATTTCGACGTCTCAAAGGACTGGGAACAAATTAAGGTGCGAGGAAGTATCATGGGAACGCTGAGATTGGCAGGGCAGGATCAAATTGTGAAAGCGGCGTTGCGCAACCAGTGCACTAGTGCTAGGCTTGCACCTACATAGATCCCCCATACTGGACCTCGAATCCTCTTGACTGACTAGGACGACACCATCCCGAGTGAGCAAAAGCGACCCAGATCACCACTTGAAGTCCCCGCCCTCGATCGTGGGAAAGTGTCCCGAGGTCTCCCCCCTCGTAGCCTTGTCAATCTACGCAACGTCAGCATCAACTCTGCACAGCAGCCTCGCGAAAAGCTTACCGTCGACACCAAAAAGTTGGCACTATCCTCAACAGTAATGAACGCCTTCTCCATACCGAATGTCTTCGCTCCCTCATTACCCATATCAGTCTGCACGAATCCAGGATCAAGCACAAACGCGGTAAGCTCCGGGTGATCAAAGTGCGCCTTGCAAACCATCCAGTGCAACATGACTTTGGACATTCCATACGCAGCCATGGGGAACGGACGGCTCTCCATACCGGTGATGCTAGCGATGGGAGTTCCGAGCGCAGCGAACTTGGGGTTGGATGACTTGAGGAGCAGGGGCAGCACCGCTTGGAAGAGAAGAAGGGGGCCGTAAGCGTTTACTTCGACGTGCGACTTGAGCACGTCGAGCGAGACTGAGGCAACGGGGGCGTAGTCTGAGGAGATGCCGGCGTTGGCGATGACGGTGTCGATGGTGGTGATGCCTTGGCTCTTGAGTTCTTCGATGGCCTTCTTCGGGCCTTCGGTGTCGCGGCTGTCGTAGGCGGTGACGATGAGCTTGCTGTCTTTGCCGGCAGGGAGGGATTTGAGCGACTCCGCGGAGCTGGTGGTGCGTGCTACGGCAATGACGGTGTTGTTTGGGCGCGCCAGGTAGGTTTCTACCATTGCCTTTCCGAGACCTGGAGAATGGTTAGTTGAACATCGGTTGATAGAGTAGGTGAGAAGTACCTCTAGCAGCGCCAGTGATGAGGTAAGTTGTTCCTGCCATAGTGGAGAACTTGTCGCTGGAAGTTGACGACTTCGAAGTCTTTTTGCTAGTAGATTGATCTGTGTTGAAGCTGCCGGACTTGAAGCAGGAGAACAGTGAAGAGAATGGTGACATGTACGGCTTGCTTGTGGTTAGCACAGTTGCCTACTTAACCGTAGACCTACGATCATGTTTGGCTGAATTGATAAGCTGCAGGTAAAACGGAAGGATCGTGCACATGTGACACAGCTTCCATCTTTGTCAGCTCGGTCAATCGCAAGCGCGAGCAATTGCGGCTGAGATGTCAGCAGATACAGAGACAAAGAGATATTGTGTTGCAAATGTGGACTTGATGCACGGACGACGCCGCAATTCCATGGGATGCTGACCTTGCATGATTAGTGTAACATAATGGACGGCCCGCTCTCCACGTTTCGGGTGAGCAACTTTCGACGAGTTCCGCTGGCCTGGAACGCTAGAAACGCCACGCTGATTGCCTTCGCTGATTGCCTTATATCGACCTCGCTGGGCGTTCAGCCGCGCATACCTTCGTCTGCAACCCCCAATGCTCACAGGTACTTATTGCCAATGAGTGTGTTTACAAATCGACACGCATATGGAAATACGCGCCTGCGGTCTTAACAAAGTCGCCTGCTATTGCACGGAAGATAATCAAATTCAGAATTGGATGATTCTCCTATGGTGTACGGAGAGTAGTTTCCGAGTTCGCAACTCCACTTAGGTACATCACACAAGATAGCGATGTGTTGAATAGTCGTCAGTATTGCTTTGAAGCTCTCACCGTGTATGTGTACATTGTAATCTTGTGGATAGAATAAGATATAGCATCATGCGAAGTGTGTTGTATACCTAGGTAGTTGATTGACGGCGTGGCTATCACGTGATCAGTCTATACCGAAACAAGGTTAGCTCTCGGCGCTAGATAGAGTAGTGCCAAACTCCGAGCCAGGCTGAGATCACCCACAGCACTCGGCCCTGTCTTCAGCGGGTGCCTGAGACCCTGCACGTGTGCGCAGTCATTAACGTGAGTCTTAGCCATTCTTGCTCGCTATATAGCTCAAGCCTCCTGCCCGTGCCGTAACAATGCAACCCTCCATGGATGCCGTGGAACGGCGAAAGATACAGAACCGACACGCACAGCGACGCTTTCGCAGTAAGTGATTTAGACTGCTAGAAGGCCCGAACCAAGGCCGGGCCCTAGTCCGAGTCAAAGGCGCGCCCTCTATTATTATTGAGGCTTCTGCGACTACTCGGCCCTTTGATACTGACCGTTCGGGCACTGCAGGCAAGAAGGCGACTAAAAATGGAGGAGAGCCATTCACGACAGCGGCGGCACCGTCCGCTGCAGCTACAGCGAGCGGGCCAATTATACAGCCGCGCCCGCAGTCAAACCACGATGTGCTGGCATGGGGCAGCGAGGGAAGGCTATCTCACCCTCACGCAGCTGGACTACAGACGTCGGAGCAAGACCCGATGCCCCCATCGACGACCCCCAATGACGGCAACACACTACGAGGGGACGTCACAATTACAGGGCTGCTCCGCCAACTTCAAGATTCGCCTATTTCGCCATCGTTGCGACCACGGTAAGATACTCTCAATGCTATGGCGTGGCGATCTGGCTGAGTGACATGCAGCTCGCACATGAACATGACCGACTTCAACTTCCCACCGTCTATGACACAGTCACGTCACGCTGTGCTATGGCCCCACGACCCTCCAGCCGAGGCCATGGTCTTCAGTACTGACGACGCTGGGGGCTTCTACTCCAATCAAGACACAAACAGAACCGCGTGGCCTGACATCGGAGCGAGCCGCGCCCAAACTGGGTCTGAAAGCAGCGGTGATGCGGTAAATTTCGAGACGTGTCATAAAGCTGGCGAATCACTAACATGAGCGCAAGTCACAAATCAACACTCGTATAATCACCCCCAACCTCTTTGTCGATGGCCGCATTGGAGAAGACAACGACCTCGACGACGACGACGAGCCCTTTCAGACCAACCTCCACATCGCGGCCGAGGCCGGTCATGACAGCCTCGTAGGTCTTCTGCTGGGCTCGGGGTACACCGTCGATGAACCCGACAGTGACGGCAACACAGCTCTGCATAGGGCCAGTCTTGGTAAACATGTGAAGGTGATGTCGAGGCTACTCAAAGCCGGTGCAAATCCCAACGCGATGAATGTTCACGGCTGGACTCCCGTGCATATGGCCTTTTCTCTCGGCTCGATGGAGGTAGTAGAGGTCCTGGTCCGACATGGTGGTGATCTGAACAAGCGTGCGAAAGGTAAGTTGAGCTGTGACAGATTCAAGGAAGCTCTCGTAGCGAAGGATCGAGGGCTTTCGCCCGAAAAATAGCTAGGATTTGTTATCGCTGTTGTGAGCATTGGCAAAGGCTAAAGTACGGTGAAGCAACACAGAGTCTGTTAAAAGGACTCATGGCTTTTCGGGCTAATAATAAACAGTAACCGCTGTCTGCAACTTTCCTCATAAGGCGTCGGGTGCAAATGATGTATCTCGATATGCCAACTACAATACTAATTTGTAAGACCAGTTCCACGTCGCACAGTCGTCCGATATGCCCATCCTCATATTGTCCAGACACGATCCTCCCTCTACCATCAAACATTTCATCTCACCAAGGGTAGCGGCGGTCAATGGTCTCGTTGAAGAATTGCTCAGAATGCTCCTTCTTGGTGGCATTATCGACCTAGAGCCCCGTTAACGACAGACAACGCTGTAGAGAAGTTGTCAAACTCACAATGTGCGCAGTGTTCTTGCTGCTGTCCTCGAGGGTGAGCGGTGCCTTCTCCAGACCGAAAGCGCGTGCGCCCATGTTGCCCATGTCTGTTTGAACGAGGCTATTCACACGACATGTCAACTTCGGCATCACACGACAAGCTTGGGGATATCTTACCCAGGATGAATGCACAGCGTGATCAGCCAGTCGTTTTCCATACCCATCTTGCGGACCATGACGTTGGCGAGCGCCTTGGAGCCGGTATAGCTGATATTGGGATAAGGAAACTCAGGCATGTTGTTGATACTGCCGCCAGCAGCGCTGATGAAGGCGAAGCGGGCCGAGTCTGACTTCTTGAGCAAGGGCAGGGTCGCCTTGTACAGTATCATGACAGAGATGGCATTGACCTGGAGGGCGTTTTCGAACTCCTCGAGTGGCACATCGGCGACGGTGTTGAGCGGCGCAATACCAGCAGCTGAGATGACGACGTCGATCTTGTCGATGCCCTTCACGGCCTCGTATGGGTCTGTCTTGGACGCCGAGTCAATCTTGACGATGAAGACTTTGGTGTTCTCGCCTTTGGAAACACTGAGCAGGGCTTGAGCACCGGCAGGGTCGCGCACGGCAGCAATGAGGGTGTTGTTTGACTGTGCGACATAATGGTCGAACATGCCGCGGCCGATGCCTGCATATCCAGTCAAATCAGTTTAGCAATACCAAGTAGGTCAAAGGCACGTACCGCGGTTAGCTCCCGTGATGAGATACGTCTTTCCGGACATGTTTTCGGAGGTGCAGCGGGTATGGTGAGAATGGTATGTAGGTTGCAGTTAGATGCAGTCGGTTATAGCGCGAGCCGGCCAATATCATGGTTCAGCTCCATGGCTCTTACTCCGTGAGTTGAGTAGCCACGTGACACTGCACGGTCACCTGCAGCCTTGTCTAGCAGGAAGGCACCGAGCTGCCATTTCTAAGCAGCGTGCACGAGCGTGGCACAGCTTGATGTTTACATTTATGATTATTTTGATGGCTCCTAATTGGCTGTAGCACACCCACCCGCGGCCCGTCACACTAATGCAAGGTCAGCATCCTGTAAGATTGCGGTCCGTGTATTACATTCTTGTGTTCGCGCTCGTCTCGTGATGATCCGATTGCAATGACTTTGCGTGGTCATCTTCATCTACTCAGCAACCACCAAACGCAGTGAATTTGCCAGGCATGCTTCAAGTCAGCACTCTGCAGCTTCAGGTGCACGTTCGTACAGCTCGAAAGCTTTGATACAATATGTCTGCGCAAACGGGCTGCGGTTGAGATCCTCAGAATCCTGTCATGAATCAACTCTTCCACAACCTTGTGTCCTCGACCTACGGGCGGATTGGACTTGTGTCTAGCGTGTTCCTCACGCTATACGTACTTTACGTCTCCATCTATCGTCTCTTCTTCCATCCTCTGCGGGGCGTTCCAGGTCCTAGGCTTGCTGCGTTGACGCAATGGGTCGAGACGTACTATGAGTGCTTCAAGGCGCCCGGTGGGCAATTCATGTGGGAGTACCAGAAATGGCACGAGAGATATGGTATGTCTTCAATCCAAATAGCAACAATTGTTTGCTCACCACTTCGTTACAGGGCCTATCGTGCGTGTTAGTCCAAATGAAGTACACATCCAAGATCCCACCTTCTACGACACCCTGTATGCGCAGTCTCGCCACTCGGACAAGCTCAAGCATCTCGAGCACCGCTTCAACAATGAGATGTCCTCGTTTGCTACTGCTGAGCACAGTCTTCATCGTCTGCGTCGTAGCGCGCTCAATCCCTTCTTCTCCAAACGTAAGATTACCCAGTACTCGCCTCACGTCCAGAGTCATATGGATCGTCTCTGCAATCGCATCGATTCCGAATTCGTCGCCAACGGGAAGACGATGAACCTGAACAATATGTGGGGCGCCTTCACTTCGGACATTGTCGTCGGATACTGTCTCGAGAAGCCGTATGACTTCATCCTGAATCCTGACTTTCGCGCCCAATTCTCCGACGCCATGTATGCCACCTTATGTCGAATCATACAGGTAGCAAGGCTAACATGCTCCAGGGTTGATCTCCTCGACCCTGTTCACTTCATCACGCAATTCCCATGGATGATCAGATCACTAAAGCTGCTGCCAGACTGGCTCGTCGTCCTCCTGTCGCCGCCAATGCGCTCTGTCATGACCTTCAACAAAGAGATGGAGACGCAAATCCAGCACGCCAAAGCCGTACACGCCTCTGGAGAAAAGACGATGGCCATCCCATCTCTTTTCACAGCTCTCCTCGAGTCCGACCTCCCGCCTAGCGAACTCTCCACCAAACGCCTGCAGCACGAAGCCATCTCCGTCATCGGCGCGGGCATCGAAACAACAATGTACACGCTGTCGACATGCTCGTACCACCTACTCGCCAATCCTGTGACGCTGGCCAAGTTGTGCGCTGAACTCGACGCAGCGATTCCAGATCCAAACCACATCCCGCACCTTGACGCATTGATGCAGTTGCCGTACTTGACTGGCGTGGTCAACGAAGCTCTGAGATTTGGCTACGGCACTCCTCAGCGCATCCCTCGCCTCTCACCAACACCCATGGTCTACCACACCCCCGATATAGACTACCAGCTCCCTGTAGGCACGATCGTGAGCATGGACCATTACACCGCCTCTCATGATCCAAGTATTTTCCCCGATCCGTTCGCGTTCGTGCCGGAGCGTTGGGCAAGTGATGCAAAGGCACCAGATGGAAAGGCGCTAACAAAGTACCTGATTGCATTTGGACGTGGAACGCGAAGCTGTGTGGGCATGCAGCTCGCGTATGCGGATTTGTATATTGGCATTGCGACTTTCTTTCGGCGGTTTGAGTGCGCGTTGTTCGAGACTGGGCACGATGCTGTTGATCTGTACCTTGATAGCTTTGTTCCGCGCGCGAAGCCGGGCACGCAGGGAGTGAGGGTTGTTGTTCAGAGGAAGCGATAGCGTTCTTTTATTGTTGCGTTGCGGGGGCGGTTGGACCCGGCACAGGCCCCGGGGCCGAAGATGCCCGGCTGTACACGCTAGAGGCTAGGCTGCAACACTTCCACCAGGTGGACCGTCCCTCTTCGACGCGCTGAATGCCACACAGCCTCAGTCTCATCTTCCTGTGACAATAATTTTGACCCTCACAGACGCGACAATGCTATGGATATTGCTATAGAGACTGCTACAATGACTGCTCCAACACCACCTCCTCTCCCACCTGCCCCAAAGCCCGCCTCAAAGGCCATAAACCTGAAAGTATCTGCGCCACCATCTCAACCAAAGCATGGTCGCAGTACTAATACCTTCCAAATACCACCTGATCAACCCTTTAGTCCTTGCTACATGTTCCTATATGGCTCACTCATGGATCCAGAAGTCCTACAAGCGGTCCTGAGCCTTCCAGAGCTTCCCACCACACGACCTGCAACCATTACCGGGTTCAGAGTCAGGATGTGGAGCATATACCCAGCGCTCATACTTGGAAATAGCGATGAGGAAGTTTCGGGCGTGGTGTGGAAAGTAGAGAAGGAAGATCATTTCAAGCGTCTGCAGGAGTACGAGACTGGTGCTTACATCTGGACTTGGTGCGAGGCGACTTTGGATGATGATGAGACGGTGCTTGAGAAGTGTCGCACTTTCTCTTGGGCTGGTGATCCGGATAGTAAAGAGCTGGAAGATGGAAGTTTTGATCTGGCGCGGTATCAGAGGGTACTAAAACCATCCGTTGTCCGGAAGCGACCTGCAGAGTAATAAGCATGACCGTAAGGCTGTGACTAGAGAATATCGTAACACGATTGCACATAGTATCGTTATGCATGGGAGAACACGGTAAAACTATTGTGCACATTGGGAACTGATAAGCCATGTAAATCTCTGTATACTGTTCTTTTCTCATCTTTTCCTTCACAACATTTCCAACGCAAGATCTACTTCACAGCTCTGATATCCGGGGTCTCCATGATGTCGACAACATCTGCATTCGCTTCCTATCGACCGGCTGTCGCTCGAATTTCGACCGCGATCTTGACAAAAGAGCGAAAGACAGTGCTTCGCTGCGCTCAGTCGAAGTCAAGATCATGCACTATTTATCGGTTAGCGCCCTGTCTAGCCTCTCAGATATGTGGCTCTTGTACCTAAGTGACTCTCGACTCATGATGAACTGCGGACGCCATATCCTCGAGCATAACGGTTGGATTTAGCGGCCACGTGTGCACGCGCTGCTGTCGAGAGAGAACGTTGCATCTCGGTGTGCGTGTACTCGGAGTATACGTATGCGTCGGAAGGAGAGTGCTTGTTGCTAGGACGGTTTAGCGAAGGACTATTCCTTTACGAGAGTATATGTACACACCAAGATGCTTTCGATCTTGATATCGAATGTAAAACTTGTACAGGAGCCAGACAGTCGGTGGACAGCCAACGATCAGGGCAACGATCGCAACGATGGTTTGGTTGTCGAGTGGCATGGCTTCAGGGCTGGGGTATCGTACTGGGTGGATTGAAGGATGGCTGACGTGTGTAAAGGCTCTGGGATATATATGAACGAGAAAGTGAGGGCTGCTGTTTGATCTTGGGCATAATAGAGAGCGAGAACCGTTATTTATCAACTGGGAATTTGCTGGCTTGATCGATGATTATGGCCACAGCCAACCAACTCACTGCGGCATCCCAACATGGACATACGTAAGAGACTAGAGGATATTCATACAGGTGCCGGTCCTCCCGTCACTTTCAACGGTCTTGAACTGCGCATCATCGCTTACGATAGCGTCAAACACCTCTAGGGCTGGGTCTGCCCATCGTGGCGCACCAATAGAGGCTAATGCTCGAAAAGGATTCTGTCTGCGGCCAATAGCCTCCAATGCTCTAAAAAGATTCTGTCTGCGACCAATAGACTCTAATGCTCCAAAAAGATTCTGTCTGTGACCAATAGAGTCTGATGCTCGGAAAAAAGATTCTGTCTGCGACCAATTGTACACACGCACGATTTTGGGACGTGGATCTTGAAGCTTTCTGAACGCCTTCCTCCGACCTACTAATGGTTGCGTCTTGCATCTTACATCTTGCCCATACTGAAGCCCCACTGCGCTCCATGGTAGGAGCAACCCTGGCGAGTCACTTATTGGGGCCTGTCTGGGCGGAATGCATCCGTTTCAAGATCGTATCCTCCCACGACGCCTGGAGCTCGTCGAATGAGGAAGTCTGGCATCGGCCTACCAGATGGACTGCATCGAGTCGCGACATACCAAAGTATCCTCTCAATGACCAGCCCGACGTAGTCTGAGTCAAAGGCGCACTCTATTGCTGCATCGAGTCGCGTGGCGCCTTAACCTGCAGGGGAGTTGCGGCTGAGTGCGATGGGATTTACGTTTTGCGTGCGACCAAAGATTGTGGAACGATCCAATCACCGGGACCTCAAGATCGCGGAGAAAGGAGGTGTTGCTGCCGGGCCTCCCGGCGCCAGTATGACGGTTCTGTGGATCGATGATTCTGAAAGTGGCCAATAGAGAGCTGCCCGCCCCGCTTCTTACCTACCCAGCGGCCTGGCACCCTCTACTTGCTCAACATAACAGTTACACAGACATCGGTTTCAACATCACAATCAGCGGACCTATTCTCTCATTACTGCGCCAGAGGCCTCACAAGCATTCACATTCTTGCGCAAGGGTTGAGCTATTCTCAGCCATTGACCTCTTACGGCTGGTTTATCGCCGAGAAACACATGCTGGAGGGTCGTATTCTAAAGGTCACAACAAAACTTACACGTTGGTCAAAATATTAGGGCATGCCGAAAAGACGGAAAGACGAAGAGGTGGAATGGATGTCGCGAAAGGAAGAGATCCTTAATCTATGGGTCGAGCAAGACAAGCCGCTGTCCAAGGTCATGCAGATCATGGCCAGGCAAGGCTTTGATCGAACGTGAGCGATCTCCAACATCGAGAAGTAATATGCTTACCAACAACAGCAAATCTCAATACGAGAGGTCTTTCAGAGGATGGAACGTCTCGAAGAATGTGTTTGAGGAAGAATGGAATTTCATTTTTAGTCGCCTGGACGAAAGGAGGCGCCCGACTAACGTTAAAGTGCGCGGTGTGTTGATACCGCAGGCAACACTAGATCGGAAAAGGCGCAGGAGGCGTGAGACGACTTTTAATATATGCAAGTCACGTAGGTAACAGATTTTCGCTGCTCATGGCGACTCACTGACTGATCAATTAGGCCTGCACCCTCGGTCTCGTCCTCAAACGCCACCGGGAATCGAGGTTTCAACGCCGCCACCGGCTACAGAGCACGATTTCCAGGAGCTGAGCAATAAGTCAGAACGTGGAGAGGATCTTGATGAAAGAGATCCCTCAGCTGAGAGTTCTCAACAACTACCTGTACAGGCTCAAGAGGACGATCATGTATTGTCGCCAACAGTTACTGCTATGACTGCCGCCGCCGTTTTTGACGCAGGATTCAATCCTCATTTCGGCTCTAATAGAGAACTATCTACCCAATGGGGAAGAGATTTCGCAAGCGGTTTCATGGACGTTGGGCACGGTAATAAGACCGGAGACCTCGAAAGGTTCCTGAACATTTCTTATCACGGTCTCGACAAGGAACAATGCCAAGAGCGAATACGGCAACTGACTGCTGGATATGTCTTCGCTCATCGGACCGATAACGTCGCTCTCAAAAACGCGATACTAGACGTCGCATGGCGTCCAGACGATGTCAAACTGGTCATGGGATACGATTATGTGGGAACTTATCTCTATGATGCACTCAAAGAAGCTGTAGGATCCTGCGACTGTGTCAAGGTCACTTGTCTGATCGACATGGGCGCAAGTCCAAATGACCCAAGAACCATAGATGATGGGCGGGCGCTGTCAGAATGGGATGCGAACATGATACGCAAAAGGATAGCGATTGGAGCAGACGACAGAGACCTGGCTTCATACTTCATCGACACACCACTGAAGAAAGCATTGATGAACAGAGATCTCAGGATAGTAAGCTGGTTAGTTGAAGCCGGGGCGAATGTCAATTCACCCCCACGTCCATATAGCCAGAGCGCGATTGAGATGGCTGCTGGACGTGGCAGTGCCGAGATAACCACATACCTTCTTGAATCAGGGGCTGATGTTCAGGGAGGACACAACAGAAATTACAGAAGAACACTATACTGGGCGAAAAAGAATGGACACGATTCTGTAGTAGCGTTATTGCATCAGTGGAAGAGGTCCCATTATGGTGAGCAAGACTGCGATACGGTTGACAACATCATGGAAACGATGACGAGCGAGGAGTTACGGGGTACATGTCAAAGTAAAGAGGCTAGAATGAAGTACTAGAAGCAGATTTCATGACAGACTCCACGGATGAGGAGTAAACGCGAGAGACCGAGTGATCACGCTCCGCAAGTCATCCAAGACTCCAACGAATCGGTACCCCGCAGGAACGCGAACTCTCTCTTTGGCATCACACAACCACCTCCTCACTCTCATACCCTCGAACCTCGCCCACCCTGCCACCTCCAGATAATTCACCCCCTCCCTCGCAGAACGCCTACCCTCCCCCCCTCAAATCTCCCTCCCCCCCTCCCCTATCACAAACACGTGGCCATCGGCCCTAATAAAGCTTGTTTCACGCCCAGACACACCTACACGTCGCTGTCCCAAAACGCGGGCAAGGATCTACATGTCACTTCCTTACTAGGATAAGGCTTGCTTTGTGCGCTGTCCGAAACGAGCTGGACGGATCGACAGGTACGCCGACGTGGACTAAGTGACTCAACGTGTTGGGGACGGGATGGATGGATGGAGAATGTGGGATTTGCCGTGCTTATTTCACCGTGAGGACGAGTGAGATGAGGATGGGAAAAGTTTTCTTGGTCATCGGGGTGTTTAGAGGTTGATCACAGATAGTGTTGGTGGTTTCGCTGTGACGTCGGTGATTGCGCGGTGGTTGAGTACGGC